GAAAAAGGAGGTGTGAGTAGTTAAGAAATGTAGTTGTAATTAGTTTGTGGGCATACAGAATACGCTTACACTAACCATCAGAATAAGAATTCCAGGTGAAATCAGCTGTGTGCATATGGATAATGAGAGATGGCAACTGCAGCTACATTTTAGATTCACCATGAATTAATGCCTTTCTTCTGGCACAGAGTTTACCTAACAAAGCCTGTGAATCCGCATGGCCTTAAATTAGGGTAGAATTTGGCCCCACAGTACCAAACAAATGATGCTCCGCATGAAAAACAAAATGAGGATCACTTTGCAAAACTTCACAAGTAGTGTGCCAAGTTTAGCTCTAATTTTATTGGCTTTTGTATCTTTGCCAAGAGCAGTGCCTCGAAGATACTGAGTTTGGTTAAATCAGCCTTTGTTCCCCACTTTATTCCTATGGATAATGACAATAAAATACATATGGTTGATTTGTCCAAGTTCGGAAGGAAAGACTTTGGACCCACATGTTGGAACAGCCAGAGATGTAGTGTAAATACAACAGCATTCATCCTTCACTCTTAAAATGGAAAATTCTCCCCTTCCAATTCTCCTTATTTCTTAAATCTTTCTCCAGTACCTAATCCTGGATGAATTCATATCCCTAGCCCAGATTCATGAGTGCAGAGTTATGATCATATAATTACTGAATTGAGTTGGAAGGGACCCCAAAGTGTCATCTAGTTCAACTGCTCTGCAATGAACAGGGACACCTACAGGTTGATCATATGCCCAGAGCCCTGTCCAGCCTTACCTTGAGTGTCCCCAGGGATGGAGCATCCATCACCTTTCTGAGCAGCCTCTGCCAGTGCCTCATGATCCCAGGATACTTAAATTTGAGTGAGGAAGGGCAATACAGCTGATGTCTTCTAAAACCCCATTTGTGATTTTCTGGTGTGATACTTTTTAGAATGACTTTCCGTTCTTGCAAAGAAACACATCTACAGTAAATCAAAGTAAGTGAACAGAATTGTGAAAATAAGTGGTAAACAAAGCAGGAAAGGTGGAAACACCCCACAAGCTGATCAAGTTCAGCAGCTTTTCTGAGTTGCTATTCCTTTGCAAATTTTTTTCTTTTTTTTTTTTTCCCCCTCAATCACACCAAATAAGATAAAAATGAGTAAATCCCCTTTTGACATCACTCCAGCTGGCTGGCAGAACCACAATCAGAGAAAACTAACTCAGATGAGACTGAGATGAAGAGGGGAGAATTCTTTCTTTCATGTGATTAGATTTTCACTCCAGTGCCTCCTACCCTGTGGCAAATGTATCTCGTGCCATGCACCCATGAAGAAATAAATCATAACATGCCAGTGACAAATAAGGAAGGAGCTGTACTCAAATGTCCGATGTGTACAGGAAATATAACAACTCTCTGTACCTCAAACTAAAATTTCTGTTTACATGTTCAGTAGACTCCAGTGTCTGGCACTTACCCTCAGGAGTGCTCTGCCTACTCAGGACCAGCTCCATTCATCCTCTCTAAATTTTATAATATCATAGGTCACAGAGGGATTCTAGCATACCACATTTAAGCATTATAAGTCCAATACACATAATTAATCCATAAAATAACTCTTCTCCCTTGCCTCCCAGCTCAGTGCCATGCTAAGGAGGAGCACCATTAGCAACTGGCCTACATTCATCTCAGAGGTAAAGCTGCATTGGAGCTGCCTCTGAAGCACATTTAGATGCATTCTGGTTGGTGGGAAGCAAACTCTTTTCCATGTACCTCATACCGTGATGCGTCTGTCGCTGTGTGTCTGATCTCTCTAAAGTGGTAGTGCTGATAACTTGGCATCGTCATGTCCCTGGTGCTGCAGCAATTAAGACCTATGGTTTAAAGCCTCTGTACGCATATTGAAAATGCATGCTATTACAAATAGCTTAAGGAAAATATGAAATCAAACACTCACGGCAGAATCATACAAGTTGGTAACTCTGCCTTTCTCCTCGCATTTCTTTGTCCTCTTCTCCCTCCTGCACATTTGTTGCATACCTTCCTCCTCTAACCTAGGTTCTTCTCTACAAAAAGGACCTCTGAGCTTTACAGTTAGTTATGCTATCTCGATCATCTCCAAGCTTCTCCAACAGGAAGAATCTGCCAAACGTATCCAGTGACTTTTAAATTTGCAATTTATTGGGCTTGAGAGAAAGCCATTTGCCTCTGCCTTTAGGAAAGGCTGCATTCAGACCTGTCTCACCAACTCAACAAACTGTTCCCAAAAAAGACTGACCCCTATTGCTCCTCCACATAGCAACAGATCCTCTTTCTTTCACCTATTTTCCAGATTTAGAAGACAGGTGCAAACATCATATCTCATCCTCATAACCTGAAATGAGGCAGGAGGAGGTATTTGAGAGATTATGGGTACAGCTGTCTGTCAGTTAGATATATTTCTTCCACTGAAGGCAGACAGTAAGGTCAATGTATATGAATGAGAGAAGAAAAAAAAATGCTAGTTACAGGTTCATCGTTCCTTCAAGGAGGACAAAACCAATCCCAATCTCAGACAGGAATACTTGCTCTCTGGGCCAAAGAGCTGGAAGAAAGGCTTGAAAGGCAAAAGGGTCCCTGAAAGATTTTGAGAATATGTGAGCCAAAATTAAATTTGAAAGTACTGAAGAGTTGAAAGTGAAAAAGACAGGGAGAAAGGAATGCAGAGAGTCAACATGCAGAAAAAGAATAAAGAGAATTGAAACTCAGGTAAATTTTTCTATATAGTGTCACCAAGTACTTATCGATAAGTTCCAGGCATTAAATGATGCAGGTTATCTCTCCAAAAAGTTCAGCAACTCAAAAGTTAAACAACAAATAAAGAGAGGAGTGCATTTACTAGCAAACAGAGATAGTAAATTGGGCATTTTCCTATCTTTCTGATGACAGTCTGTAACTGTTATCATTTGCCTGTCCTTCTGTGAACCTGGTACATGGCATTCAAGGTGCATCCTTTACTTTTATCACTTGTGAATTGCCTATGGGCACGATGATGTTTGGGGTGTTACACTTCTCCTGCTATGTAGCTCTGCCTGTTTGCAATCCATAACAAGGTGCCTGTATCAGAAGCCATGTGGATACAAGTCTGCTGTTCTGTACGAGCATCTCTTTCACCACTTTATAAAGATTTCACTCACTTCCTAAAGTGTTTTTAACTTAATAAGCAAATGGTGGAAATGAATACATATGTACATATTTAAAGAGAACAAGCCAATTTTGCCTTTTGATCTGCAAGATCAAAGTCAGTTTCAGTAAGAAATGTAGAAATGTAGAAATGTAAAAGTAGCAAAATGTGGACAAAACTATCAACAAATAACACAGAAATATAAGATATGCTAAGAAAGTTATTCGGAATGCCTGAACTTATTGACAATCAATATATTCATCATACCATTAAAAATATAGGCAACCAAAGCATACAGTACTGCACCTTTTATTGCTGCCTAACACGGCTTTATGTCCACTGCATTGCAACAAACTGACATAAAAATGCAAATTCTACAAAAACTCAGAAATCAAGTCTGGCTAATAAAGTTCACATTTATGTAATGCTTTCCAAGTATTGCAAGAAATAATTTTGAACTGAATTACTTGCGCTAGGAAAAAAGAATATACTTTTCAGAAGGACTACTAAATATCTTTCCTTAAAAGAAATTTCACCTAAAAGAAGAGAGAGGCAAGAGAATGCAATTAAGAATATATTTGAAGAGAGATTATTAAAAATGATAATATTGGAATATAAACTCACCATAACTCACAGCTCTTTGATAAGGATTTTTTTTATGTCCAGCATACTCATAGCCTATCACTGCCTGCAGGGCTGTATCGTTGTACTTCAGAAGGCATATTTATAAGCCTTTCAGTATTTCTTGTCCTAAATACTGTTTTCCAAAAGAACGTCATTGTTAGTGACAAAAAGTATCTGGAAATAGTAATTATGACAAGCCTAAAGTTTAAAAAAGAGAGAAAGATGAAAAGAATGTAAATATTCATTTAAACATAGCTCCAGAACTCAGATTTTAAGTAACGTGCTACTCCATTTAACAGGAGGAAAATTCAAGGCCTGAAGACTTAAGGAAGCATGACCTTGCATATTGCAAAAACTGAACCCAACTATCCAACATGCATCAATTTCAGGACAGAAAAAAAGAAAGGAATTTCCAAAAGGAATATATTGTTTTGCCTTCAGACCATTCTGAAGTATCATTTGTGCAGATGACCAGTCTTCAATTCCCTGATGGCATGCATCATCCTCTGCACTTTATGCAAAATATTTGAAAAGAAAGTAGAAAAAATTATGAGTCTGTAGAATGGCTCCTGTTCAACTCTGAGATGGGTCTGTTTTGGCATGGTGAAACACTTCTGCACACCTGTCCTCTACGGCAGCAAAAAGAGTGGAAGAAAACTGCAGAGGTATGCCAGCCTGCGGGGCTGACTTGTAAAGGACTATTAAAAAACAAAGAGTGCATAACTTGACATTTGTCAGAGACTGCAGGGCTTCAGCTCTTAATTGCTAAAGCTAACTGGGGGTCTGAGGTACTTCAAAACTTGTCACTTGATGATTGTACCTGAAAGTAAGTAAAAAACATTATACATGTAGCCATGAAAAGAATAAACACTTAAGCAGCATCAGAGGGCTAATCCTGAAAGCAAATAATGAAAGCAAATAATGAATATGAAAATAAAGACTTAATATTCTGAAAGCACTCTAAGAAGACTCTCTAACTACTTCTAGGCACTTAAATGCTATTCTAATGTGAGTTTTAGAAAGATTTTCACAGAGATGTGTGATTAGGCTATATGCCACACTCAGAAACAAAAGTAGAAGAAATATGCAATTGGGTCTAGAAAAGCGAAAGAAATGTAGGAAGAAACGTTAGAGACAATCTTGGGATACCCAGTAAAGTTCTGCATCTCAAAAGAATATATTTATAAAGGTAAATTATTATAACTTTCTTTCTGATGGTAAGCCAGAATGAAGATGGAAAAAACAGAGCAGTATCAATCAACATATAAAAAGCAACTCTAAATGTAAATGATTTGGCAATGAAATAAAAAATTTTAGTCTCTTTTTCCCCCAAGAGCTTCATTAAAAAAAACTTACAGCACAGTTTTATAGGAAACAAAGGGAACATCTTCAACTGAAATTGTCATCAGTGCTACTGACTTAGCAACATCATATTCAAATTTACATAACATTAAAAAGTCAAAGCATATCAGAATGACTGGTTTGTCATCAAAAAGTTACTGCAAACAAATGCACTTCATTTCTTACAAATGAAAAAACACAAGTATATTTGTGTAAGGAGGATAGAAACCAATGCAGTTCCATTCTGCTAACCTCTATTAAATAGGCAGCATGGAGTTACAGAGTATTCCCACTAAAGGAATTTCTCAGTGACTTAAAATACAGATAAGCAACATAGTAATGTCACCTGAAATCTGCTTTGTACTTTGAACTGATAATGGCAAACCAGTGATATGCCTTTCTCCAGAGGACAATCATGTAACAAACTGCTGTATGAGAACAAACATTTCACCCTTCCCACTGGCCAAGGGAAGCAGAAAACTCATCAAGAATGATATAATTCAATGAAAATATCCTCACAGAGTTCAAAGAAATTGGATGCGAATTGGAGCTATAACAGCAGCTTGCCTCAGGCTCACACCATCTATTTCTTCACAGTCACTTCCACCACCCTCTTTAAAGGGTATTAAAGCACACATTAGTTTATATTGCTTTTATTTTTAAGAAATTAATTTACACTGGGGGTGGGTGCGTGTCACTAGATGTCTTTGGGCATTTCTGAGCACATTATCTGGACGGATCACCCTACAGCCATCTCAAACATCCAGTGTCAAAAGGAAAGCCATCGCTAACAGCCATAAATCTTGATGGCTGTGTAAGCATGCTTCGTATCAGCACTCAGTGGAGCATTCTGAAAAGTACTGGGTGTTTTTGAAATTGCAAATAGGTTCGATTTAAGAAGACCACAAGTTCTAAATGATAGAATGCCAGGTTTTGTTGTTATTGGTTTTAGTACAGTCCACTGTCAATATTGATAGAAAGCACCGTACCCATTAATGTAAGACTTTTGCCCATGTAGCACTGCAGAAAAGGAAGTTTACGATACTGGGATGCAAATTATCAAGATCACAGCCAATGCTGCAATGCTACTGCGTAACAGTATGGTCCAGCAACAGTTTTCAAATCAAATTACATTATGTTTAATTTTAACAGTTACGTACCTGTTTGGATTATGGACATTTTTTACAGTTACATATAATTGTGGTTGGTTTCAGTAGTCTTTAAGGAACAGCAATCATTATAAGTAAAACAAAGAAGCAAGACTACTAATATTATGTACTTGTGCTGAAGATACTGAATAAATAGTAATTGATTTAGCCTCACAATACCCCTGTGAGGTAGGTAATTACTATCAGTTCCTTTTTATAGATGGGGAAACTGAGGTTACAGGTTAAGTAATTTGCCCAGAGTCTGGGCACAGAATTCACGTGCGTGACACCCATCTTCTGTTTCTTAGCTAATTACCCTTCCTCACTAACAAACTTAACTGGAGTGTGTACAAACACTGTGTGTACTCATGTGTGCATATGTGCCTGGTGTTTAGGCAAAGAAAGAACTCTGTTTCTGTATATGCATGTAACCAGACTTATGTAAAGGAGATACATACATATGTATAAGCGTTTTAAGGCATATATACATATATATATGATATATATATATCATGGACATAGTTCAAAAGATTCAAAACCTAACAGTAGAGATAATTTTCATTTAAAGATATACTGCAAATGGGAAAATAGGAATGGTATTGTCTCAGTTTCAAAATAATTCATTTTTAAAGTTATTCTTGCCAGAGAACTAAAGGCTTACTTTATTATCTGTTGGATATTGCTAATACAGTTATAACAATACTGACAACTCTTTAGAAAACAGTGCTTTTAAGACATGACAAACCAACCTTGCAGGAGTGCTGCATGAATCAAATTAATTAGCACTGAAAAACATTATTACAGGCACTATATTGTGCTAAGTGTTAATTAGAGTACCGCACGGTTAAATATTCTACTCTTTTCCAAAAGACTGCTGTTATCAGAGACACAAATCACCCTGTTTTAAATGTATGAAAGTAGCTGCTAAAGAACAGATCAGATGCGTGACCCAGTTCCAACAATGTCTTTAACTGATCAGACTAACAGTGGGAGAGCAATTTCAGTGCTTGGATCTCCATCCTATTCCTTGACCAGGAGACTAGTCCCCTACTCACTTGCTCCATGCCCACTTCAGATTCATTTCACAGGAACAAAGAAGCTGTTTGCAATACTATTTTACTGTCTGTTCAGGCTCATTTCCACTAGAGAACACATAAAAAGCTAGAGAAGGGGAAGCCTCTGGTGCAACCAAGTTCCCAATGTACAGCACATTCTATATCACACTTCTCTCTGAGAAATGCACACTCAGTTCCGTGTAACATCTTGGATTTATGCATACACTTGTTGAACACAACAGTTTGCTAGAACACCGATTTTCTCTGGGTCAGTTTGCATGGCACTCCACCACTACATAGGCAGAAATTTTGGAAAGAAGTTTGAATTTATTTTCCTGAGGAGTCTGCAGTATTTTTCAGCATCTTTAACCTTTTCATCCAGGTCATCACATGAAGTTTCTTGTGCTTTACACATACATCCTGTGGGGTTTCTGAGATCCCACACTACTGCACTGAATTACGACATCCCACTCTGCTGCATTTGACAACCATATGCTTTAGGATACTCACAGCTATGCAGAAGAATGACTCCAATGCATGGGGTAATTTTAAGACAGTTCTTTTGTGTCTTTCCAGCATTCATTATTTACTGCTTGTTTACTCAAGTTAGCTACCTGTATCCCCTGCACGCAAGGTGGTGTGGGAGCTTGTCACTAGCATCGGCATGACATTCAGTGAGTAAAGAGCTATTTATACTCTACTGAAGGCAAAAAGTGAAGAGAGTATGTAGGTTTCCAAGAGAAGCGCCCTACTTAACCTCCTGTCCAACCTGCAGAAGTTGGGACCATTGCTGAGATGGGGCCCGACTGACACCCTGTGGTGAGAGAAAGGAAGCACGGACCTGATACCACTGATACAAGCCCTCCTCATGCCCTCTGGCTTGTCAGGCCAACACAAATGGAGAAGTATGGGTATGAGTTTGCCCACATCTGCCACCAAAGTTGAAATACCAAGGGAAGATGTGAGTAGGAAAGGGACTGCGCTGTCCAAACTGGAGGAGGGCTCTCACCTTCCCGGCATCTCTGCCCTAACAGCAAGTCTTAATAAAATAATCCTACAAAGAAAGTGACCATGAAGACGTATTTACACTCTAAGGAAATTTAAAAAGAGACAGGCCATCAGCACAGGTAGTTACATGATAACTGCTCTGGCAGCTGTCATTATCCTAGAGGTGCTCACTCAGAAGACAAGAGGAGAGCAACTGAAATGACCGTCCGTAAGTGAAGGCACCTGGTCTGGGAAAAGCTTCACGCTGGTGTGTTTATCTCATACATGGGTGGGACTGGGGGAGGTACTGGTGCTGAGGGTTTGTCAGGACTTGATAAACTTAAAGGAGTGTTATCTTACAATTATCAGATAACCTATTTAGTGCTTTACTTTGTTTAATCCACAGAAGGGCCTAGGCCTAAATTCCTTAGATTACTTCACATGTATTTAAGAGCTTCTACTGACTAGGAGCACATCCAGCTCCTTGCTCAGTCCTCTCCCAGTATAGAACCACTGCTGTTACGGCCCTCTGAAACCATGGAGACCAACCAGCACCTGTTCTGGTCCAGTCATGGTTTAGAAATCACCTTTTCAAGCTGAGGAGTCCCATCCTTCTGCTGAATACCTCAATTAAAATTATAATTAAAAAGTTACAGTCAATTCTCCTAAAAATAAACACAGAGAACTAGAGCTTATAGAGGAAAGAAAGAAAGTGGCATTGAATGTGCCCAGGGCTACACATTTGCTACTGTAGTTTGAGTTTGAATAACAAATTCTCAGGCCATTAGTGAACACAAGATGTGCATCCTTCTCCACCAGTAACTGACGATGGACGTTTTTTTCCACGGGACTGTTAGGGAACCTTCTCTCCACCAGCAATTTACAGCCATGTTTGCAATTTTGTGACATCACCAGGGAAAAATAAAACGATACAGAGAAGAGTCTTTCGGTTTTTGCGTTCAGCTGTAAATATCAGCTAACCAGGTAACTGTGCATCTCTCTGGAGTTGATGCTCAAAACCACGCCTGAGTGATTGCCTATGAAAATAGAGGGAAAAAAAAAAAAAGACAGCATTAGTATATTTCAGGTACTTCACAAAAATCCCCTTTTTATTGCAGGGACAAGTCAATCACATACACAGAGTGTCTTTATCAAACAACAGATCAGGTGAAGGTTTGTGCAACAGCTCCATGTACCCTACAAGATACTTTCACCTAAAGCTTTTGCTCATGGTGGTGAATTTGTGGTGAATTCCTAGGGTTTCTATCCCAGTGACAGCATAAGTTGGTTCCCTTTGCAGCTTAAAAAGGTGTGGTTGTCTCGAGGGGTGCAGGTGAGGGAGGAGAATGGCACCTGAGGCATCCATTCAACATGCCACTGACCTGGGACTGGACACTGACCGGCATCAGCAATAGGGGAACTCTGTAGCTGTTCAAGTTGCCACTTCTCCCAGAAGGAGTCACTGCAAGGTAATGATGTTGAGGAGTCCCAAGGTGGGGGTTGCGATAAAGTAGGCAACATAAAATATATAGAAAACAAAAAAAGTGGATGGGTGAGTCTGGAAATATTGTACTGCAGAAAGTCAAAAGTTACGAGAAGAGAGAACAACAGAAAGCTAGGCCTGCCATACCCTGCTGTGCATGGAGCGGAGGTTGTTACAGACCTCTCCCAACAGGGAGGGAGAAAGATCACCAGAATTAGAAGGGATCTCCACAGCATAGGAACCTTCTGCAAATAATACCTTCTGTTGTAAAACAGAATTTTATATAAAGCACAGATTGCAACGTTTCGTACTCTACCCAGATAACACAGAACAGGAATATTTTCTTGGCAATAATGAGCGATACCGGACCTAGTAGAATGTGTTACAAGTAACAAAACGGTACAGCGAGCTGAAATAGTTTTCTGTCTTAAATACAGTCTTCTGTCTAAAAGCTGAAGCTGTACAGTAGCCGATGAATATAGATGATTAGGATCCACAGAAATGAACTTTTTACGCTCTGCTGGAAATGCTTTTGGTGTTGACAACCTGGCAGAAGCACAAATCACCTCAAGAGCTGCATTTACTAGCTGTTTTAAGTGTCACCTCAAAACACTGTGATCTTGCACCCTTTAACCTTAACAATACTCTGCCCAGATACATGATATTTTTTTCTCTGTGTAAGGAGTGCAGGATCAGGCTTATGTAGCCAGCACTAAGCAAGTAGAGATTATTTCCAAATGTGTCACAAATGAGGGTAGATTTTCTTTATTCCAGCATTACTACCTGCCTTCTCTAAATAGGCCAAAAGGGATTTTCTATCATTTAAAGTTACATTTTTGCACATTATTTGGAGGTGTTTGAATGTTCCACTTTAACAGAAATGTCTGCATGGACTTCGTTAGCATTCGGCCTTCTCTTAAGACTCTGGAGAGAGGTTGATAAAACAATTTTAATGGAGACTTTGCTTTTCCAGGGTTGTTCTTGGAACTAATTTCAATAGAGTCAAGAGTGCAAAAAAGGTCTTACAAAATTGTGAATGAAAACAGTGATACTCACACACGCTATTTGTCAGAGAAAATAGAGAAATATACAAAGACAACAAAGCAGGAGGGTAGACTCTTCAACTGTACTCTAAAATAGTATCTACAAGAACCTTGAAGTAGCATGAGGCTCAGCAAATGAAAATGAAGATATATACAACAAAAAGTAAAGATGAAATCCACATCAAAGAAATCTCTCTTCTCCCACGATTCTCTTACCTCAGGGTACCTCTGGCCCAGCTAATATAGATGCCCTTCTGTGGGTTCATGAAAACATTACAGTTGCCAGTTAGGCCATGAAAGGACTGTCACAAATACCAGAGGCTTTGGGTTATCTGATTTATTTTCACAAGACTTGTATGAATGGAACTGGAGAGCTTTTCCCATTGTCCTACACTTTTCAAACTGCGACCCAAACACACTCTGAACACAATGGTACATTTTACAGGAAATGAACTTAATACATCAGTATTCTACGCTACATTAAAAATAACCACAGGGAGCCACGATATACACTTCTAACTGACACTGAAATCATTTGCTCAGAGTTTCACAGAAAGTTTGTCTTAAAGGTTCTTTATGGCCATCCCATGAATACTAGTAAATTATCAGCTAAAATAGGAAGGCTTATAATATTTTTAATACAGGAATAAATTTCATGTTTTTAATAATGAAAATTTTAAATGGAATATAATGGCAAATATAGCAATGGATCTAGATACAATCTGAAATAATGGAAATATTGACTCTACAAATTCTACTGACACACATTTGATTTTCTACTATTTCAGAGGATTCTTGAGCTAAGTCAAATGCTACCAATTATATTCTGTTCTATGAAATATATTTTCTCCCTAAAATTGCCTGAGTAAGTCTCCTGACATTAAACTCTACTGCCTCTGTACTTTTGCTTCTGTATTGCATGCCTGCTCATACATTAATCTGTAATTACAAGCAAGCAAAATAAAGATAATTGAGATAATACTTAGCGGTGTGCTACTTGCTTTCTCCCAAATCTGAACAGAAAATGATGATGAGGAAAAAAAAAAAAAAAGCTAAAATGAAAATGAACATCAAGTAAAAATGAGTTACTTACAAAAATGTATGAACTAAAAATGAAGTTACCTCTTGCGTTACCTAGCGTTTGAGAGTCCAGATCATCATCAATAAACTCCTCACCCTGGATGATGTTCTGGGTGTCCTCGCTATGATTAACAGGGCTTGTCATCTCTTGCTCTTTTTCATTGTGCATCTGGGCATAGACATTCCTGCCTGGTAGTTTCCTAAATGGGACAAAGAGAAAAAATCCTGTAATCAAGTCCTTCATGTCACATACATTTTGACAACAGAGAAGACCTGCAGCAGCAAGAAGTTGTACTAGAATCACACAATAGGGCCAGTCACACTCTTCCTCAATTTTATTTTCCCAACCTAAAGTTACCAACTAATTATTCTCAGCAGCTTAAGACTTCAGCATCGATTTTTCTTACTAAGATTGATAGAAAAAAAACCCCAAAAACTAAAACAAAAACTAAAAACCACAGAAAGGCGTTTTTTATTAAGTAAAGTAGTAAAAAGACCCAACAGGCATTTCTTCCTGGTTTCAGAGATCTTTACAAACATTAAAGTCACAATAAGTCAAGCCCATCTCCCCAATCAAGGTGGGCCGACACTGGAGGTTAGTGTTCAGTAACACTCCCATACTGTACTAGGGTTGAGGGGAAAGAAGCAGGAGAAATCCAGCAGATAGTGAATGAAAAGGGAGCATAGGGTGACACACCAGAGGCCAGGAGCAAGGGGTATGGAGTAAGAAGTTAAATCAGCATACGTATAGGAAAGTAAGAAGACATTGCCTCCTCGCAGGGAAGGCTGGGTAGAGATAAGCAGGCAGTATTGAAGCAGTACTGGGAAATGACTGATTAGACCAAGCTTTCTATGGAAGACAGTGTTTAATTCCTTCACTTTGAACTGTATCTAGAAAAACAAAAAGTATGCTATGAAATGGCGCTATCAGTTTCAACAGACAATTAGCACCATAACTGAACCTGGAAAGCTTTAAAGTAAGTATTAGTAAAGAGCTCTTAACTAGATTAACTTATGTGAGAATTGTAAAATCAAAGAAGAAGAAATCAGAAGCTTCTAATTTTTGCAACAGAATTTATCGTTTAAACATTCCTCGGCAGCCATGGCCTTTGTTATAGCTTTGCTATCTGAAATCTGCTTGGGCACATGAGAGCATCCTTTCCTGTTTACCAAGCAGATACTTCTGATTAGGGAGATGCAGACTGTGAGCTCTGTTTCCATGTAGTAAACAGCAGCCTGACAGCTCAATCAGTGTGAGAGCAGATCATGGCTAAGTCCATGCTCAAACACGAATCATTACAATGGGCAGACAATAACAAAAAAATGGAATATGAGGTTGAACTGCTGAGGTTAAGCTGGAGTTTCTGCTGTGCTCTTTCAGCTACAGTGCAAAGACAGAAAGATTGACAGTAATTCTTGGTTCTCTCTCCAAAAATGACCATCTTCTCCTCTATATTCTGGCAGCAGTACGATAACAGGAAAAATACATGTGTTTCAGTGCTTTGGCTTTTGAGTTTAAATGTTATTTCAAAAGAAAGGTTCTATTTCAAGTGGCACCGTTTTGAGATAAAAGTTTCTGCAGCATCCTCATTTGATAATAAACTTTCACAAACATCACAAATAATTACAGTAAACAGAAATTGCTAAACTGAAACATGAGTGGAAGGGATGTTCTCCCGCTGATTTCAACTAACCATGAGATGAACTGCATCTTCTCTATCTATACCTATGTATGTACACATACCTATCTGCATAGCCATGTGCATACACACACATATAAATACATATATATACACACACACATATACACATATACACATACATTCGCAGGTTGCTCCCAAAGTAATACCTCCCATGTCTTTTCATGGAAACTGCAATGGCTATAAAGAACACAATGACCCTATTTGATAGGGCAAATTCTTAGCTACCAAATACTCTTTTTCAACATAACTATGAAGAAGATGAACAAGAAAGAGCCTGTTGTGCTTGTAACAATTTGCACAAGAAGAGATGACTCACTGCTCCTGTCACCACTGCTGAAATGCTTTACCCACTGCCTCACTGCACTCACATCCACTGTTTGGTCTCTATAAGCATTCAGCAAGCTTGTCCATGAGTGCCATTTTTTCTTCATGGAGGAATTCAGTGGCACACCTTTCTTTCATTCACACTTCCATGTCAGATGCCACTTTGTCAGACTGTTCCTCTGCTGCCATTCTTTCACATGGCAAACAAATGTAATGGAATACTGGCAGGAAGATTCGATCTCTACTGCCATACCACCAACATTCACCTCTAATCTTGTCAGCCAACATAAAAAAAATTTACTTTCAGAGCAGCTTTCATATATATAGATCAGATATTTTATTGCTTTATTTATAAGCAGCACAAAGAAAGAAATCTAATTGGTTTTACTCCTCTGAACCTCAGTGAGCATGGAATAAAATAAGGCACAGGTACAACCAAATGCAAATGACAGGGATGGAAAAAGTGTATGATAACACAACGTTAATCTGGTACTTGAGCAAATCTGAGGGCTTCTCCAACACTAACAAAGCCAATCCCTTCATCGCCCTCCTCCCATTAATTGGGTTAAAAAAGCCATTGTAAAAGAAAGAAGGACACACCTCATTACAAAACCAAATACGTTAGGTAATTCATTGTGATTTTTTTTTCTTTCTTAGGGCCAGTAACTTCAGACAGTTTATTATGTGTCTGCTAATGAAACTAGTCATGTGGAAAACAATATTCAGCTCAATCAGACCTGCATGCAATCTGTCAAATTGCTCTCCTTTCAGTCCACCACCAAATTCCTATGGGAAACAAAACTCAAAAGAATGTCTTTGCAGCACATCTGCAGAATTAGACATATGTTTCTACGAGAACTGGGCGATTTTCTCCAAGCTGTACTTCTGACAAATTTTAGACACATCAATGGCATTATCAAGATGTTTTTGACATAATAAAAATTTTATCTACTTCAAACCCATATGTCACACCAGACCTTTACAGTGAGGACAGCTGCTAAACTCACTGTTATTTGCCTGGATTTTCTAAGGCCGTAGTATGTGCCTGAAACCAGGTCAAGAGGGTGCATACTTTGGTGTAAATCCTGACGCTTCAAGTTGTGTATGTGTTAAAACTTAGTAGTCTTAACACATCATCCCAATCACCATCACCCCAATACACACTATTAAATGTGCATGAATGAAGAAACTTCACATGTTCACAAGTAAATATTAAACTCACCACTGTTAAGAGCACTTCTTTACGGGTTATGAATAACAGGAGAAAAGGCATAAGCTAATATTTCTCACTCACCTTAACTTCATGAGGCCAGTGCTGCTCAGTGTAGATCCTTCATGGAAGGTATAAAGTTCAGATACTCAGTGTAGTATCTTAAATTCTAACAAATAATATGGATAGGAGGAGGAAATTTACAGGTCTCGTGTAGGCATACATAGGCTTTTGACCTTTTATTCATGATAGAGATCTCCACGTGTTTCATAATGGTTAAAGTTTTACAAGGAGAAAGTTCCACCAGACTCAAGAAAATGATAGTACAGGTCTCTTTAAGAGGCACTGTATCACGTGCCAGATGTTCTGTTTACTTGGGACAACCATACTGTGGGGTGAAACAGGATGGGGATGCTGAATCTTTGCAAAAGATAGGTCTACTTTTGGCCATTTTCCAGTTGCTCCACATTGATCTAACTTCTAGGAAGGAAGCTGCTACCTCTGATTATACAGAAAAAAGATGTGTGTACCCTGATGTGCTTTGCTCTTCTTAAGGAAGTAATTTGTGTTGAGTCCAGTGTAACTGTTTGAAGTAGGCAGAGCTGAAATGCTTGGGTCTACATAAAAGATTACTGTGAAAACATGACAAGACATGAAATGTGACCCAAGAGATTACTATCAGCAATAAGAAAATTGAAAGCACATTTATAAGAACAGAGAGTAAGATTATGCAATAGTTTATTTGGGAGGGTTACCCCTCAGCTGTAAAATGCATGTGCTCTGCATCCGTCACTGGAGACAATTATCTCTGCTGCACAGGGCTCCATGGTTTACATTTCTAGCTCCTTTTGTTTTCTCTGTAGCATTTTATTTCAATCATGAGGAAGAAGAAATATTCGTGCCTGCTTTGAGGACCATAAAAATATGAATGGGTAACTTAATTCTCTACAAAACTAATGAACATCCCAGCACATGGCTTTGACTGACCTGTTCAGGTCACACAACTTTTAGAAGATATTTGAGAAAGCAATTGGCTTACTGCATTCACAGATTCTAACCAGTTCATATCAGAAACTGCTTGCACTTAAAACTGTTAAGCAGTATGAAACAGCAGGAGGGGGATGAGGTATTGATTCCAATTCATTTAAACTCCCTACTTTATTTGCCTTTCAATTCCCACCTTGTGGAACAAACAATCATTGGTCTTTACATGGCTTCACTCATTTTCCAGAGGCTTGATTAAGATTCTGTTCAGTTTAAGAAATAGGAATGCATTCACCTGGCAAAATACATAGAATAATGCCTCATGATTTGAGAATTTAAATAAAACTAATAACAATAATAATTAATTAAATAGAATATTTTATTGTGGTGCGGGGTTTACTATGTTTGGATTAATGTTCAGATGAATGACTTTGTGCTTTAAGGCACTCCTGACTTACTTGCCTACTTCATTCTGGAAATCTTTTATACATGCTATTATTTTGATTTCTGAGAAAATTTTTATGAAATATTACAGACCTTTAAATTAGTGCCTTTATATATATATATATATGTACGTATATAAAACTAAGTGGCATTGGCTGGGACTAAACTTGCTCTTATGGAACATAAAAACAGTACAAGCAAGGTGGGGGTATTCTTCAGAGGCTGAAAATGAGATAGTTAGTCAATGAGGCAGAAAGATAACAGTTCTGCTCCACATTGTAGAAATGACCCAAGAGGGGGTTAATTTACCAAAAGTAGCACTAGACAGTCCCAGGAATAAAAAAGAATTATACATAAAATGATGTAAATTTAATTGAAGTAGACTCACAGAGATTTATGAAAACACAGCATTCAGTTTTAGGGTACAGGCAGTAGTTTGCACACAAATCAAAAGATGAATATTATCACACACATTTTGGGAATAGAATTTGTTACGTGTTAACCAAGTCAAATTCCTAAGCAGAAAAACCATGCTCTGGATTGGTTAATCCAATATACTGTTGTTATGCAGAAGTAAAAAATAATAAAAGAATGATTTCACAACTTCCACTAGTAATATAATGATTATATGGCAGCTTTGATGTGGCTAAAATACAATTTTCCTTTCCTCCACTTTGCTTAGTTCAGACAGTGCTATTTGCCTTCTCTATGTCATTGCCCAGGGGCCCCCAGTGTGGAAGAACAGAATAAAAAAGTCCTTTCTGGATGATGACATGAAACCCATAGAAAATACAAACGTTTTTAAGGGAATAGATGATACGTTCTTTCACTGAACCAAATCTAGCAAAGATGGGATGGTATAGAAAACAATATATGCAGGTCTCTGATCCATTTTAAAAAAACTGAACTGATTTCTCTAAAATATTTTCCAGCTGTTTCATACTGTTCTGGTCAGAAGAAGCAGCTGTAGTGCATTTTACCTGGATAGTTAAACAGTTGAAGCATACTACTGAGTGTTGTAACATATTGTTTGCTTGAGGCATCAGACCGGTGATTTCCACACTCAGAAAGGAAAAGCAAAGCAAAGAAAAATTATTCTTAACTTATCTAATATTCATGCTTGCTGCCTTGTGTCACAGTCATAGCGAGTTTTAGCATCTTACTGCCATACGGAAAATTTCCCCCCAGAATGTCTGGAACAAACTTTGTCCACTAGCAGGATCAGACTAGAATCATAAAATATCCCAAGTTGGAAGGGACCCATAAGGATCATCAAGTCCACCTCCTAGAGTCAGTTTTTAGAAAATATCAACATTAAAAATTAAAAATTTATTTTTCATGTACTGGGCAAATTTTTTCAAGTACCAAATTTAACGTTGAGTAAAGAGAAGTCCTTTGGGCTGGCAAAGAGAGACAGTAACCCGAGCCATGTTTGTGCAGTCTTTTCTGGACAGCCTGCATTTCCTATCCCCCAAGGTAAACTGCAAGATCTGTAGACCCAAACAGTGTAATGATAAAATTAAGATTCATAAGCCTTTCTCTGATTCTGGAGGAAAAAAAGAATTTTAGCACTTTTTTGAAGGGAGCATCAGGATATCAGTTACATAACTGAAAGGAAAGGGCCACCAAATCTGTTACATCTCTGCCTCAATTTTGTTAATCATACATAAAAATCATGGACAGTATTAACACTTCAACACATTATATATTTTTGTAATTCCTATGTGGGAATAATTGGTATTTATATTGTCATGTGTTGTCTGAGGGCCTAGAAAGTGTTATTCCACTGAAGTTATCTCATAAACTTGAACGATTTTTGTTAAATATAGCATTCTTTCAGCAAATTAATTCTTAATATATAGGCATTGACAAGCCTTCATGCATTGCAGTTTGCCTTATTAGTAATAAAAGACATTTCAGTTTCATAACCTCAGTCCCATGGGCCAGTTTGTAAACCTACACATTCGGTTCCAACATTAAAGGGATTGCACTTGTAAGTAAATACTCCATGGGGATCTAGCAATTTGATTTCAGTCTTTATAAACACAGGAAATACTTTTTTAAGGGATTAGACATTTGTGGGAGAGTAGTTCATAGAGAACACTTGGAGAAAAAGTGACTTTTCCAACTGAACACCATTTAGGCTCTCAATATTGCTTGAAAACCAAATTGTATTAAAAAAAAAAAAAAAAAGATGCAACTAGAAAAAAACAAAAGTCAACTTGAAAAAGCTTAGGAGAAATAATTAATTAAAAATAATTGTACCAAATATCTCAGGAAGAGATATGATACAGACCAAAACCAAATATTCATCAATGGCAGGAGCTACTTTCAAGCTACATAGAAACATTTGAACACATATCATATTTCTCCTCACTTGCACCCAAATTCTAACCCCATGAAGTTTAAATGCAAATGATTTTCACAAATTATATATGGAAGTGTGTGAGACATTAAGGCTCAGAATCTGCAAATGGTACTGTAGTTTCCTTCTTAATAAAAGCTCTATTTATAAAGAAATGGCTCATTGAGCATTTTAAAAAGGACTCAGGGAAAACACTTCTTTTTTTCTTCCTTTCTTGCATATTTTATACTTCTTTTGCCATGCAGTAATTGCGCCTGTTATTTAATTGCTCTCATTTAAGAGCTAATAAAAGATATAAGTCATACTGCTTTCAAAACACATCACAAGCAAGTTTTATGATCCCATACTACAAGCAACAAATCCTCCACGTATTGCTACTGAAATAATATAATTACATCACATCAACCATTTTTATGCTTTTACTTCCCGCAGGCACATAAAATAGGGAAATGGATTTTTATTTAGTTACAAACAGTCTGATACTGCATTATGTGCTTTGTCCTTTAGAGCAATCAGTCACCAAGGGCTCTAAACAACTTGGATTCTGCAGTAAGAAAATGAAGAGATGCTTGGCAAAGGTTTTTTTCTGTTCATTTAAAAACTCTCACCTATACAGACTCTTAGATGCTATTTACTCTTACTGTTATCACAAACTCAGTGCCACATCCACTTCTATAAATTTATGCTTATTACAAATAAAAATGCATCTTGAAACAATACAACAAATCAATGGAAGGCCTTCCTAAATAAAGACTTGATAATAATGGAGGCTTGTTTCCAGTATTATCACACCCAATAGCTACTCAACGCACCAAAGATATAAAGATACAAAGAAGATAGCCAACGATAACACAAACTCATGAAAAAAGAACAAAATCCTTTAAATCACACATCATCCAAGTAGCTATTATTAAAACCAATAGAGGACTAAAAGTCTACCAGACTGTCAAAGGCAGGCAAGGTAACTACTGTCACTTTTGAGGAAATGTCTCACATAAAGGCAACTTCAAAAATTATTTCTACCCTCAGCACACCACAGTGTCAAATTAATGTTAATCTATTTCCATCACTTAATCTGTGTGGCATTGTCCCAACATTTAAAATGTAACATGTGCAAAGAGAAACTCCTCAGGGTTGTACCTTTTGACAAAACTGCATTGCAGATGTACTTATTGTCCTGATAACTTTAGTTTATTTGAAACTGCTAAGAGTAATGAGGTAGGAATTAGTCAGGAATAGCATCATCTTTTTTGACAGTATTATTTAAATAAGCTGAACAAACTCTACATAGTTCCCATATTGCTGCTATTTATCTTGGAACACGGCAAACAAAACCAAACACCAGTGCAGCATCTTCATTTCTAGGTTCAGAAAAAAATGTGACTTTCAAAGCAGTGGACTTCAACCTCCCTTCCAAACAACAAACTCTGTTTAGCTGATCTTTGGGTAAGTCCAGATCTCAAAATATGAATGTCATTGATTAAGTTTACTTGCCTTTTGAACTTGTAGAGGATGAAAGCCCCAACTGCGACTAGACAGATAACAAAGAGAACCACAATAGCCCAGTAGCCACTGCCTCCTCCAATTCTTTGAGAGTCTGAAATAAAACATGGAAAACATACTTAGCATGTCCTCTTTTAGGTCATCCATATTTTTGGGGATTCTAAAGATATCAAAGGAAATTATGATATATACCTACGTAAATACAATACAAAAGCAGGGCTTTATTAATTTTGCAGATGGAGAAACTAGGGCTAGGAACAGCAATTGAGCTCATCAAGGTCATACAATGGTAAAGGCTAGAATGAATGTGGGATTCTTCCAGTTCCAGCTTTTTGAGCTGGCAAATGGATATTAATCCCTTAAGTAAGTGGTTTCCAATACTGACCAGACAGGGTACCACAGTGAAACTGTAACGTGATTCTGCATTAAAGAGACTAGATAAAAAAACTTTGATCTTCTACTGAGAGTTGATAAAGTATCACATCAGCATTAGCATAAATAGACTGTGGTCAGTTAAGCTTTTTTCCCACAACACATTCAAGTACGAGACAAGAATATATTAATGAAAATGATACACAAAGACTATGGGACATTTTAAGATGTGGCTGAAGTCAATTTTGAATTTTCTAGTTAAAACATCATTTTAACATAACTCTATTCAAAATTCACACTCCCTTCAACCAGTTTCAACCTGAAGAGTAAATCCAGAGTTGGAGGAAATAAATTCCAAAAAAAACTTTTTCAGTTGTTTTAAACAGAGACAAGGTAGATCCTTCCTTTCAGAACAGCATTAGCCAAGCAGTTCAGCAATTATGGGGACCCTACAGGAAGATTCAGATCTGTGGATCCACGTGTATGGCACAGTTTAGTACAATACTGTGATACCATGCTACGTCACAGAAGTGTGGAGTTATAATATCAGAGTTAAGGACTTAAGTAGCTCTGCTTTCTTGGAAGCTAGCACAGATGGTTACTGAATATTTTTTTTAGAAGCCTGGTTAGCTCTTCCCTGGCCATACAGAAAACAGCAAGAAGTTTGTGATATAAATATTGCTATATGACAAAATGAAATAACAGAATAAACATTTATTTGGCGGCAACTGTTAAAAAGCATCAACAAAGAATACACACAGAAACATTACATGTGTATATATATATATATAACATATATATGTATGTACGTATGTATGTCTTCCTATAGGTAATAAGCCCCAAGTAAATACATACGTACGTATGTACGCATACATATACTGATATGCAGACTTCCTCCTTAACCCATCTAACAAGCACCCAAAGTTTTATTTATATATTTACCTGAATCAGAGTCTGCTAATGTCACTAAGACCCAGTATCCTCCTCGCAGAAAGAAACTGATGTTGTGTGCATTCAAGGCCTGCTTTATAGCCGCTATTCTCTGAAAACACAAAAGAGAGAATGCCTCACTCATCTTTCAGTTCTACCTTGAGAGACTCAATGCTCTGAAAAGGAAAACCACTGGTTTATTGTATGGAGAGAAAGTTAGAAACCACTTGTCACCGAAGAGCTGAAATCTTGAAGACATTCCAAAGTAAAAAAACATGCAAAACTTCAAAAGCTGCAAACGTTGAAAAAGTCAAATCTTTAATAGCCCAGTCTGTCTTTCTGCTTAGCAAACCCTTTAAGTTCACGCAGTATGTGAACAGACAGCATATTTGCACACACTGTTGGGTCTACCTCAGTCATAACTCAAACAATGCATAACCCATATTAAAACTCTATCAATTTTTCTAACCCTATCAAAAGACAACTTGCAATGTCACTTTAGATTTCCTACTATGAAAAGCAACTGCTATTTCATAATGAACTGCATGTCGTAATTCAAGTCATCTCTTTTGCTGTAATGGGATGGATTCCATTTATGTCTAATTTTTAACAACACTCTGCAGAAATATATACATCCATTCATGTGGAAAAAATTGGGATTTCTTCTATTTTTCTCCAATAGGCAGAAGCACACTAAAATATGGCTGCTCATATTTTTATGGAGCAGAACCATTAAATATACCATCGTATTCTAACTCCAGATGACAAATTGGATGAATTTGCCATTTTACTTCCTTGTGTCTTCAACATGGGTAATTTTCTAAAAGATCAAAGCTAGTTTTACAGTCTATGCCTTATAATTTAAGATACAATTTCCCACAGTATGACGAATTAGAAATATGCTTTATATCTATGAAACCTTCACAAGAAGCTCTTTTTATCATTTTATCAATTATGGTGCTCATCTTTGAGAAGTCTTTGCAGTGTAACAGATAGAAATCCCTGCCATCTCTCTCATGTTATGGAGAGACTTCACAAAGGTTTAGATTCAAATATCCACCCTCATATTGAGGAACATTTAACTTCTGAAGCCATTCCACTGACTTCATTAGATATTTCACAGAGGAATGACTCAGTCTAATGGTGATATGAACATGGCCCCAATTATTTTACAAAAAAAATTATTCCAGATAACTCTTAAGTATTTATCTTTTTGCCTAGTGTCTGAAAAGAGAATGAGTATGAGAATAGTACTGGTTAGAAGCCTTTGAAGTGATGTTGGCACCAAGGAAATAGAGTTACTTAGTCTTGATCAAGACTCATTCACACATTCATGTGATACAAGGCAAGAGGGAGCACTGCTTTAGCCTAATCCAACTTTCAATCAGTAAACTGAGTTACTGAGTCTTGTAGCTTAATTGTGAAAACATAGTAATTTCCTGGCAGGTATTCAAGACACCCAACATTTGCTCTGTTTTTTGCTCAAGCAATTAGATCTTGTTCATGATTTCTCCCCTTACACCTGGGTTTCCACCCAGGTCTATAGGAAACACATAGGTTTGAACTCTATGCGAATAGTGCATATAAATACAAGGTTTCCCAAATAATTTGCAATATATGATTACTCTTCCTTATGCTACAGAGTAGCTCATGGGGTATTTCATACAGAAGCAATGAAAAATGGAGACAGCATTGACTATAATTAATTATATCCTTCAAAACACATTGAAGCACAACCCTAATATAACAGCTGAGATGTAAAGTGAATAATATGCATAACATTTTGCACAGAAATGTTTGCAGAACCCAAGAATCAATCATCATCAGTTCATTTAAATTATTAAAGATATCCATTCCAAATATGCTTGGAATAAAGAGAAATAATTTCGTTTAGAAGCTGCGCCTCGCCTCTTCAAGAAGTAGAAAGATGCAAGTAATTTTGAAGTGCTAATACTCACCTGGACAAAAGCCAGAGATCAGAAATAGCTCACTTCAAAAGAAACAACCTATTAAAATTAACTGTTTCCTGCAGTATAAACAGGATTTCAGACTCCTAGGGATTCCCATTATGATTACAGAGGAAGAGAAGTAACTAAGATTTAGGATATATTCTGTGCATTCACACTGTTCTCCATCTATTTCACACCACTGTTTCTGTAAGAAACTTCTTCAGGCACCTGGACAACGTCAATACTTTCATTTGGACCTTCACAATTGTACCACAGCAACAACATAAACAACCTATTGATATTGTTTTACTATGAGAGCTTCGTCTTTTCTATTTCTCCAAACATTTTGAATATTGTGATCTTGTCTAATAGAGTGGCAAAATGCCCTTCAGAATTAAAAAATATCTTACACTGTGACTCTTTGTAACAGGTAGGACTTGAATTGCAACATGCAGGCACAGACTTGGGATTTGTTCCTTCTCTCTAACAGTGAAAGGAGAAATAACAAAAAACTGTAAATTAACAAGCAACGGCCAAACAATATTCTGATTTTCTCCAGGTACAGGCTTTTTATTATGGAAGGTATCTGGAGCAGAGAAGCAGAGGAGGAGAGGAGCAGAGAAGTTAATATCATATTTTCATTGCCTTGTTCACTGTATTTGCTTCTTGGCAATTGAAAAGGACATTAGCTGATAAAGGCAGAAACTACCTGCTTCACATTCTTCGGGTCAGCTATTACAGGTCAACTGTTAAGGTTCTGTTTCTGTTGGACAGAAGTGAAGAAATGGTTTGTCTCTTTTTAGAAACACTTCCTTTTGCTCCACCAATCTTCACAGATTGATGTGTCATCACTAATGTTTCTCCTTTTTTTTTTTTAGGTGTCAAGAGGGATCAAGGCTTACTGCAGGCTATTGTTTAGTAGAATAATTAATCATATCTTCTGCCTCTTCTGTCTCTTCTGGCAGGATTTATTCTTTACTGTAAAAGATGGGGTAAATAGTGCTATGCAGGGCAGCCATACATGTTGTCAGCTTTTACATACCTTTTGTCAGATAGGAGAGAGATCTTTACATAGTCAAGTTATACCTTTTAATCCCACATAAATAAAAGGAGAGTACAGTCACTGATTTCAAAATGGGATGAAGACTGCTCTAACCAAACATACAGTGTTCTGGTTACCTTATCACTAGTTACACTTCTCTTCCTTTTAGGTTGATTTGCTGGTAGGAGCACATGCAAGTCAGCAGTTGTGGGCAGACCAGGTTTCACAACTGTCATAAGTGTTTCTTCAGGTATATTGGTTTCCTGCAAAGACAAAGGTATATGGTAAATTATAGGACAGTGCTCTTCGTATTTTATATAAAATAGATGAGTAATTCTTTGTGAGCATTTAATTCTTTAGCACTCAAATCTCTAATAGTTAGAGTAGATTCCACCAGAAGCTAAAACGTGAGCAAAGTCAAGCATTAATTAGCTGAAATGTGAGGGGTGCTTTGAAAATTAGAAGAACCAAGCACTGTTGTCACTTTAAAAAGATTTAATGGCATCATGGAAAGAAGCCAAATGAAGTGGCATAGTTTTAGTAAAACTGCAATAGTTTTGCATTTTTAGAGTAACTTTAAAAATAATTCCTAAGTCACATGGAATGTTTAGTGGGCCATTCAGTTAGTAGACTTAGATGGGCATGTTCATTATAGCTAACTTAACCTTACAGAGGCTACTTTTCCTTCTGTTTTTACTGGACAGACTCTCCCAGGATGAGATCAACAGTACTTAGATTCCTTTTCTGAACCTGGTATGAATATCTGCACCCCAAATGAAACAAATGCATTGCTTTTCAAAATAGTTTGTGCAAACTGTGTTTTCTAACCCAAATTGCTTCATTTGTTACATAAGTAACTCCAAAAGTAATGCTGCCTATTTATTTCCATGGAAACTATAGCAGCTACAAAGAGTACAATAGCACTATTTGAGAGAGCAAGTTCTCAATGTTTTATGGAACACTCTTTTTCAACATAGCCACCACTATTAGCTGTGCATTTTCATTAGGGATGAACAAGGGCCTACACGCTGTGCTTGTTACAATCTGCACCAGCAGGGATGATCCACTGTCCCTATCACCACTGCTGAAATGCCCTCTGCCCCACTGCTGAAATCACCCACTGCCTCACTGTACTCACATCCACTGTTTGGTCTCGATAAGCATTCAGCAAGCATTGATGAATGTCAGTGAGTGCCATTTTTTCTGCAAGGAGGAATTCAGTGACACAACTTTGTTCCATTCACACTTCTATGTCAGACACTTTTTTGTCAGCCTGCCCCTCTACTGCCATCTGTCAACACGGCAACAAAATGTAAGGAATCTTGCTGGGAAGGTTCAACCTCTTCTGCCATACCGCCAACATTCACCTCTGACATTGTGGGCCAACACAAAAAAAAAGACAGTTTTACTTTTGGAGTAGCCCTCATTATACAGCCACAAAATTCTAATGACAACACCCATGGCATTTTCCATGGCCTTTCCCAAAACAAATACTGAAATTCAATTAAATTGTTCCTATTGTCTCACAAATGATTTGATATTTATTAAAACAAAATGGCTAATTTTAAAATATAGTATTTTTAAGACTGACAGTGCTTGTAGATTGAAGATTTAGAAAAGAAAAGCAGGAAACTGTATACAGTCAGAATTCCAAAATTCGATTTGATGGATTTGATTTGATTTTGAACTATTGTAAATCCATGAAAAGTCCATTGAATTCAAACACAGTAATTCTAAAGACATCATCAATCTGCAACACAGTACCACTGTCTTCACAGACAGTTGGAACGTGCACATTCTGCTGTGGGCACTGTGTGTATCTGACAGCACAGCTCCAGACCTCACAATTTTTATGGAGTGCTCTTCAGTTATCTCACAGAACTGTTCTGTGGCTTTGTACTTGATTTAATTTATATGATTCAACTGCTCCCAGTCCACATTTCTTTTACAAACATGATCTAAAAAAAAAAAACAGCTGTACAAACTATCTGTCCATGTGTTATATATAACTTTTGAAGTTCCACAAATGATATCATGAATTCTTTTCTCTGCTTTGTTTCTTCACAAAGACTATGTCTTCATATTATGCAATATCCTACATACATCACATTTAACTGACTTTTCTTGCTTTGGAGTCAGCAGTATTTGCCAATATGTCTATCGCTCATCCCAGAAAGCAATAATTAGCATTAATTGCCAATTAGGCTATGTTAGAACTGAACTTTTCCAAGCTATGATGTCATAATCTACAGCCTGCCCATAGAAGTGACGCTGGGTTCAAACTTGTATCAAATGTGGCTCATGAGGTTCATTTTATTATTTTGCTCTGCCTCTTTTTTTTTTTTTTTTTTTTTTTTTTTTTTTTTTTTAAACAAGAAGGCATTAACTTAACCTTCAAGTTTTATGACTGGAAAGGGAACATTTTACGAGCAATCTGAAAGAGCACCTTTGCAAGAAGTCGTGTTACTACACGCCCTATGTCTTCCCTCCACTCTGGTATGTTGGGGTTGTACATGTCCAGGTGCTTGGTAAACTTCAGAGGAAGAACATGAAAATGATCTAGAAAGACAAAAAGAAACACTTCTGAATCACTGACAATCTGATTATAGAAACAGTTTTGTATATATTTTCATATATATTTATCTACTTACATATTTTCCTACATTTATACACGTGTGTGTGTAGACATATGTGTGTACATATATATGTATACATACACTCACATTATCTATGCAGCACTGCATTACCTAGGAACCCCATTATAATCCATTGCTCAAAGAGGAAAGGTAAAAAACAAATCTTTCCCCCAGGAGCCTACAGTGTAATATGGAGCAAAAATATGCTCCTGCCAGGCACTCAATTACTTTCTGTATTTTCAATATCATCAAATTTGTGTCTAGAGATTAAAATACAGTAGGGGAAAAAAAAATAAACCAAACAGACTTACATTCATCTTCTGGGGTCGTAACCTGCTCAGTAATTTTTTCTTTAAGACAATACACCACATAAATATGATTGGATTCTTTTATTTTTTAAGGGGAACGTGCCAATGGATTCTATTCTTACTGAATCACAAACATGTTTTTTACGTTTTACATGTTCCTGTTCTTCATGCAAAATGGCTACTTTACATATCTTATGGACTAGCTATATGTATTAGCTACAAAACAGAAATTCTGTTCCAAATACCAAAGGGTAACTACTGCCCTCTTAAAATATATATGTATAAAATAAAAGTAAAAATTAAAAAAAAAAATACATCTTAACATTTATCTGAATAATGCCCAAAATATCTGAAATACTAGAAATTGGCTATTCCTCAGCAAACAGTCTTTGAAGTCCGTCGTTTTTTCCTTTCATGCTCCTTAGAGGATCACCTGGGGAAGTTAATACAAAGAAGGGAAATAGATTCCCTGGAACACAGGAGTGACTCAAACACTTCTTCCCTAACTGTTAGGACAGAATTCTGTTTCAATGTGATTTTCCATCCCAAGGATTTAATACCCCTCATGAACAGTACTTTCTTGCTCTTCAGATCAGGATTTCCCAACACGAACAGCCAAAACAGTGTTGGAAATCAAAGGCACCAATCTCATCTCACTAAGAGCGTTTACACATCTAAAGATTTTTTTAAACAGTGGGTGCACTTGTAAGAGATTACATAAACGTTAAATCCATTTATCTTAACAAATGAGAAGTTTTGTAAAAGTTCTGTTTAACATAAATGTGGTTTTCACCGTTATTTTAAATCAGTATGTATGCTGAAAGCAAAAGTACCAGAATCCTCTTTCACTGTTCAAGTCACAGATATGTTTCATTTGTGTATTTCATGAATTTTAAGCTCTGCATTACAGTGAAACTTTTTTACATATCACAATTCCCACATGTGACAGCACAAATGCAAACAGAATAAATTTGCCAGCACTACATTTTTCATTATATATTATGCCTCGACAGTACATTATTAGACACAGCAAAGCACACTGAGGCATAATGTGAAACAAAAGTAGAAGTTCGTCTTCTATTGAAGAGCTAAAATTTACAAAAGGGCAATAATTCAAACTCTCACACAAATGCTGAAAGAATGGTTGTACATGGTGGCAGAAGGAAAATATTTCACACTGTTTTAATGCTATAGACAACTAATTTATTTTTTTTTCCAAAAGTATTTAAACTACTGTATTTTGAAATGCTAACGAACTCTGAAGTCCTAAGAAAAAATACTATTTCAATGTTACTGCTACATTAGGGAAACACAGTAACATTTAGAATAAGCAAAGGAAACTAAAGGTTTCAAGTGAAACCATTCCATAAGGCCACACTGCTCAGCGTTACGTACAGTTCATCCCTCTAATTTCAGAAATTAGATGTGGCATTAGAAATAACCTTACAAGAGGTTCAGTTCTGCCTGCACTGGTTTAAGAGATATAAGTACACATTAAACAGCAATTAAAAATTGAACAAGTAATGCCTCACCAAAAACGTGGACAACTTTGGAATCTTGTAGCATGGAGTTCCCGCAGGAAGCTTGCACTGTCACTCTGACATCACCTGTCACAGCGAACCTCGTCACCAGAAAACTGTCCAATGTAAGAAGTGGCTTTGCAAGCAAAGAAAAGTAGAAAACAGAATTTCAACAACAACCAGGAGAATAGTTATCTGACGAGACTATCACTAAAGATATCAGCACAGAAGTTGCACATCAATTATATTTTTAGAACGTTGGTCAACATTTTATCAAATTATTATGATTTACAATAGAAACTTTCTTATTTTTTTAAAAACAGATGGACTCTTATAAACAGAATAGCTGCCAGATTAGTCAAATATTTCTGTGAGTTTAATTGGTAGGGTATTAGATTTATATTCAGATCGCACTGAAATAAAGGGATTTAGAATCAGGCTCACAAATCTGAGTGACTGTGGCCCCTTGGTTTGTTCAGTGCAGAGCAGAGGGAGCTGAAGGGAGGCCTCATGGCAGCTGCAGCTCCTCACAGGGAGCAGAAGAGTAACTCTGAGCTCTGTTCCCTGTGACAGAGACAGGCCCGAGGGAATGGCACGGAGCTGTGCCAGGGGAGGGGCAGCTGCGGGTTAGGGAAAGGGTCTGCACCAGAGGGCGGTGGGCATGGAACGGGCTGCCCAGGGCAGGGGGCACAGCCCTGAGCTGCCAGAGATCAAGGAGCATTTGGACACCACTCTCAGCAAGAAGGTCTGATTTTTAGGTGTGAAGCCGGGAGTTGGACTTGATTCTCATCAGTCCCTTCCAACTCAGGATATTCTGTGATTCTGTGAACTTTACAGGATCATACTGAGCAAGTCATCTGACTTGAAAAATATGGGGCACAGTCAAGGTCAGGTGGATTACTCCTGTCATGACCCATGGAAGTGCACCAATCTATCACAACTTCCAAGGTGAAGTTGAGATACCGTACTCCCCAACCACATTTGTATGTATCAGAAACCTCACCCCCACCGTACAACAAGATTACATCAGTTTGCAGTGCCTGTTCTGGCAATGGCAAAGCCAATAACAATGAACAGACACAGGCAAGGATTATGGTAGACAGCACATTTACAAGATCAAAGTTCATTATGCTTATCTGAAACATTCCTTTGTCTCCTTCATAAAGGAAATATTTTACATATCTGATTCTGAAAGAACTGCCTTAAAAAAATTAACCCAGTTAGACAAGAAATATGCCCAGTTGAAATACTTGCATATTTATTGCTCTTTTTACAAGGCGACGTAGTGATAGGACAAGGGGTTTAAGCTGAAAGAAGATAACAATAGATTAAATATAAGGAAAAAATTTACTATGAGGGTGGTGAGGCACTGGCACAGGCTGTCCAGAGAAGTTGTGGATGTCTCATCTCTGAAAGTGCTCAAGGCCATGTTAGATGGGACTGTGGTCACCTTGGTCTAAAGAAAGGCACCTCTCTGCCTGTTGCAGGGGTTGGAAAGAGATGATTTTTTGGCCTTCCAATCCAAAATCATTATATGATTTTATGATAAAGTAAAAGGTTTCATGCAATTCTTACTGGAAAGAGATCAAAGATAATGTCAGTCACAACCATTCATGTACCTGAAGACTGTTTCCTATCCACCAGTAGAAGACTGTCAAGTTAGGGTTCTTGGGCAGTATGATGGCTGTCAGATTCACCTCCTGGTTTCTGCCAATGACTGGAACCACTTCTAAATGTAAAGCCTGCAGAGGAGCTGAAAGAAGTTCCCAAAACATCATTGAAACCTTGTTTAAATCATTGAATGCATCAATATAATAACGCTTCTTTTTTTTTCTTTTCTTTTTTTTTTTTTTTTTTTGCCAAAAGCCTCTCACCTGTACAACATAAGGTCCTGAACTTACTTTTCTCTCTCCTGCCTATACATCTGTGTTGAAAGCTATGGACATAATTGGAAGGACTTCCTTCATTTCAACCAAAATTAAACATAGTTAAAAAAAAAAATAAAAAAAATCCATCAACAACAAAACCCAAAAAGCAGAACAGATGAGCAATGTGACAAATAGTGAAAATGTACCTTAAAGTTGTGCATTTTTTTGTGCATGTTCAATTTGAGAGAGTATAAGCAAGTATTACAGATACAAAATGGAAATCTGCTTTAAGTAAAAAAAAAAAAAAGATCAAATGAATAGAAATCTAAAAAGTCTCAAGCTGCTAAGTGAAAAGCAGAAAACTGGATAATAATGTTGCTGACTGTTCATTTTCATTATAAAATATCAGCTGTTAGGCTCACTTCACATGAGCTAATTAATGCACACTTTAAAATAAATGCATACATCAGAGGAGCATTTATTTGCAAATCAAGAGAGATGGCCTCTGGAAGTTTACTTTTTGATTAAATTTGTTTCTTTCTGAACTTTTGCTTACAAATGCTGTAAACACTATTATTTATATAAAAGATATAAAAGAAACATGTCATTAAAATGATTTCATCTGATTTTGTATTAGTGTCGTATTTTGTTCTGAAGTACAACAGCATTAATTGAAAATCATCTTTGTCTCAGAGGTCTCCAAGAGTATTTCTTGAGAACGTCTGAAGGTACAAGCTTTTTAATATTATAATGTGATAACTACAACTTCTTAACATCAGCCGCAATATCTATTCAGGATACCAATGTGCTGTATGGTCCTAAATACATTCATTAAACATAGTGAATACTAACCCATAATTTTTTCTCTACTCAATGTATCTTTTAATTCATAAAAATGTCTTTCATTTCAGTTCAGACTTAAATGTAATTAACACTATTTCAAGGCCTTTCTCTTATTCTCTTTTGTTGATTGAATTCACTTCCATTCACTTCCAGTGCACTTTGATTAAACTGACAGAAGTTCGCTGAGAGCACGTTGTTCAAACTGATCATACCCTCCTTTTTTCACCTCGCTTCAGTCAGACTTCGTGCTGCTTCAACCAAACATATGGCTCTACTTTCATTTAGCATTTTTGCTGACAAGCGATTAACCATCTACATGAATTCAAAGACACAACTTTTTTTTTTTTTTTAAAGTTTCTTCAACAGCTTCTTTATCAAAACTGAATTAAAATGCTCTTCCTGATGTTGGCATCTTGAGGAAAACTCAGAAATAGTACAAATTCCATTAAATATTCTTCTCTTAGAAATGTTTTTTCTTACTGGGTATGCAAAATAAAGAAGTCTGGGAGGAATCTGCACCACTGTTTTGATTTTGCCATATATTTCCATTCTCACACAGGAAACTGATCATCCTGAGATACAGCTTTCATAAGGAAAGGGAAGATATTTGGCTCTTGAATCAAGAGTTGACCATTTCTGTATAGGAAAGAACTAACAATAATTACAGCAAGTCTCTCTCTTCTTCTCAGTCATATAATTCCAAATGCATTTGAACAACCCTCATAGCATCCTGAATGTACATAATGAGGAATGATGTTGACTTATATTTCTACTTAATCTCTGTATAGTTTTCCAAGCTCCTTCTTTCTCTATATCAATTTCTACACTCTCAAAAAAAAAAAAAAAAAAAAAAAAAAAAAGCATATTCACATACTGTAGTTATTATAGTTATTATAGTTTTGTGGCACGAAGAAGAAAAAGTATGTCTACTTCATGCTGAGTTCTTTTTATTCTGGGTTATCTATTCACATGTATACTATCAGACTTGCTTTAATATCTCTTAATCTCTTACAGCTTATAAAAAAGTTGTTTGTGAACTGGATCAGTTCACAGATAACAGGCCAAAATGTTTGTCCTTCATTACAGGACAATTCTCATACCAACCAAACCTCACAGGAGTTAAAAATATTTCCCTTACTATTTGTCCTTCATAAAATTTATCTCGAAATACATCAGATGAAAACAGTGAACACAGGACATTGGACATTTCTGTTTGCATGATACACCACAATGAAAAATGGCCCCGAGCAGCTATTAGCATTTCTCTAGAAGGCAGATATATATCACTTAATTAGTACCAGCTAATTTCCTCAAATCCTGTAATTTACTTTAAAAATTAAACAGTTTAAACCCCATCTGAAGTGTTTATTCAAGCATGCTGCGTAACACGGGTCCATGTGTCTTTTAGATCACTTACAGCACTAACGGAGAAGCTCAAGATGAGCTCTAAAATCATCCAAGTCTGCTTGCAGTATTTTGTTGATTCTGTACTTCAGCACCAGTCATTTGAAATACACAGCCATTGTATTTTTGAAAAATATGTTATAAATCCACTGTATAAAACACAATTTACACCTTTTATTTTAACTGTTTATCCAGATGTAGACCAAAGCAGAAGCATATCTTGAGAAAGGAGTTGTTCAGCTTTCCATTGGTGCTCGTTACAGTTTATCATTCCCTATAAAATATGAAGATTTTCTCCCTGGAGAGATGGTATTACAGAGTTTTTGTCATTCCTTGCTTATGGAGATCTACCAACTACTTTTATGCTTAATCTACTTCTAAATACCCAGATGCTACTAAAAAGTAAACATAGAACAGTCAGTAATTAATCTAAGCTGTCAAATTATGTAAAATGCAAAAACAATAAATAAACAGGTAATGAAATGGAGATGGAAATTTAGACTTCAATCATTTCATTTTGATTTTAATAGGATATTAGCCATTAGTATTAATGGATTGGGCTCCACCTGTTAATCAAAGCAGAAGCAGAAACTCTGGATTCAGGCTCTGAAGAGCAAAAAGAAGAAACAGCTGCAGCCACAAGATAGGCTGACATAAAACACATGGATTTGTGCACAGACTTGAATGTGGCTCCACTGCTTTCTATTGTTAGTATGGAAAACATCACTCGCATCAGGGGAAACAGACAACTGAAGAATATGAGATGAGTATATTTTTTCATTGAATGCTACTTGTTTACAATTTTTGACAGATCTAAAAACAAAGTGATAGCTGTCTTGAATCTCGAAGGAAGAGAAAAATTTTGTTTCAATTATGACTTCCCTTCCTTATTTCAATTAAGAGATGTCTGAGATGCATTAAGTCTGCTACCATGTGTGATATCCCTGTGCCTCACTATTCTGTTCATTTGAATCTATTCAATGGGATTTTTAGGTCTTAATTAAGAAGACAGGGAGAGAGGTCTAAGTCAACTTATACTGTATGTCAATACAAAGTTAAATCCAAGTAATACTTTAAAACTTTGTAAGAATTAACTACCTAAAACTAGACTTAAGGACTTTAATAAGTAGCCTGACTTTTAGAAATGCTGAGATTTTGATCCTTCTACCAACTAATGCTTTCTGAAAGTCATACAAGAGGTCACACTTTTATCAATATGTCTGTTCTCTTGCTTCTTACAGCACAAAAAGACATAGCCTGAAGTTCTAAATTTTAGCTGCCAACAAGGTCTTGAGTCAGGAAGAGAGGTAAAATCTGAGAAATGAACTGAGGAATGCTTGGTATTTAAAAGATTAATATACCATCTTTCTCACAAATCTAAACAAAACTAACTCTGTCCTTCTTTTATACAAGTCTCTATACTAACAGCACACAGCAATGCACAATTGATTGAGGTTATTAGGAAAGAAATGTATTTTTCCTAAACGTGACTAGTAACATTCTCAGCTGTTTCGTAACTATCACAACGTTTGTATGCAGCAGTAAGAACAAGAAAACCAAAGGGCTGACTTACAGTTGACTTGGATGAACACTACAGACTCATCATGTCCAGCAACATTTTCAGCCTTCACTGAGACACGGTAAATCCCAGGATTCTCGTAACGGTGACGGATGGGTTCCCCAGTCATTGTAAGATTGACATATATTGCCTTAAAGCCATCGCCGAGATCCACCTGGTACTTGGTATTCAATATATCACCCTAAAAGGAGAATATATCAACGTTTTGAATGGCCAGAACCTAAATAGACAGGACATGTTATTTTAACTATTTCCTGAACCACAACATCACTTCCAGCACCAGCCAAACGTTTTGACTCCACAGCAGTGGCTACACTAAAACCTGTAAACCCATTGTGAAGATTTTAGAGTAACAAATGCTGCATGCACTCACAGAGATAAATCTAACTTTCTTCAGTAAGGCTTAATCTTAAAAACAACACTAAAAAAACCACCCCAGACCACTAAGCCAAGTTGTATGATACAGATATCACTCTTAAAAATTTAATACTTCTGGACATTAATTAATATAATGGTGCAGGGCAGCTTCAAGTCCCTGGAGCTATAATCTGGTGATTCCCAACTACAACTTAACCAGTGACCTGTGGTAACTGACTGGCAGTGAACTTCTGGCTTGTGCAATTATAAAGCAGAATAGGATTAGATCATCTTCATAGCACCTTCTAACTACGCTCTCCTGTGTCAACTGTATGACAGCTAGAATACAAGCTGGTAGCTTCTACAGAGTAGTACTGCATTATACAGAGTTACCAGCATGTTTCAAACTGGCATGCTACTCTACAAAATGATATGCACGCTTGACAAAGTAGAGTTCTGAGCTGTGCTTAGTAAAAAGACCAGCCAAATACTTCTGTCACATCAAGCATCTCACATAATTTACAATTCATTGCACTTCTGCTAAGTGCTCCTTTAAACAACACCGCCTTCCTAAACTCAGACCTAAAATACTGCAATGACTGATACTGTTGTCAGAGGACAAATATAAGCCCATCATTCATGTTGTCATGGTGTGTCTGCTCAGAAGAGAAGTCAGGTCTGTGCTACATGGACTGGCCATATGGATTGAGTGAAAGGAAGATTCGTTTTAGCTGTGAGCAACAGCACTTTCTTAATACCACTGGCAGCAGTGCTTTAGTGACTTGCCCTTCTTCCTCTGTATTCAGCAATATACTCCTGCCTGCATTTCACAGCACACTGTCGCTACTGCCATGGAAGTTAAAATGGCTTGTAGGGCCAAGTTTGATAGGAAATTCTTCATATTTTGAAAAGACAGTGTTAGATTAAAAATCAGCCTAGAGGAAAGGAATGTATACACTCATCAAATAAGCTGAATGGCAATCAGATCTGACAAGGACTCACGCCCCCTGAAGTACTGAAAAATCACCTCACTTTCCCATAAGCCAATCTGTGAAATAGTTTTGCATCAAAATCCAATTCAAAAGGAAGCATTAATGTAAAATAAAGGAGGTAACAAAGTCTAGCATTTTCAAATGCTTGCATTACAAAGGAAAGAAAAATACACTCTTTTTCTCCATTTATTATTTTGCAGTTTGGTTGATTTTCTTCCATGTTTTATCAGATGAAAGAGCACTACTTATCTTGTAAGAGAGTACTCAGAATAAGGAACCTGTAGGGTTATCAAACACCTAACATCATATTTCAACACACATAAAAGACCTTGAAAGCTTCTTCACTGTGAATATTTTTTCCGAATAACATTTTTATTTTGACAACAGATGGGTACCAGAAAATATATTATTAAAGTTTAAAGCAGAAGAGATGTCTGCTTGCCAGCAATGTGTCAGTAAGTGGCATCTCTTCAGATGACATTAGCTTGCAAATAGTTCTTGTTAGCTCTTTCTTATGCTAACAAGTATACATGCGTATTTTCTCCAGGTGAGGGAGAAACCAGTGTTGGAAGCAACTACATGCAAGTTTCTCTTAATGTTTTATTCTAATATCTTCCTTATTGTAAAGATGGGAATGCTGTCTCCAAAAACAGCAGGGCACTTCTGTTTTCCTGATCAGGAAAGACAGAGAGCGGTGGACAGCAAATGATTCACACAGAGAAAAGGAATTTAAAGAAACTGGTTCTTCCGCACAAAATAAATGATTTTTGTACAATTATTTATTCACAAATCCAGCCTAAATAATTAAAAAAAAAAATTCATATTATTATTTCCAAGATCAATTGCAAACTGCTCAAATGGGCCTCAAAAACTACTTTCCTTATTTCCTGCAGTCTGGCATTGCTGCACTCAGTACTGCACTTCACAAAAACCAGTCAATTAATATTGTTCAGCAGGAAAAGAAAGTAGTATTTTTGGTTCATCTTAGCGGGACTGCTTCTTAAGTTCTCTAATTGATAAGAATTCTCTTCAGACTTTATCATATATATTAAATCCTAAAGGCCAGGACTTTCAAGTATAAATATTATTCTTAGCCATAGGGGGCAGCAAACTTTTACATTTCCTTTAAATCTCCTTTTCAGTTCTGTTCACTGAGCAGACTTTACCAGAAAATGGGGATTCCCTTCAGGATTCCTGATTTTGGAAGAGTTTTGAATAATTGTATGAGTTTTGCCTATTGCCAACAGAGACTTGTGAAGGCTTCAGAACTTTTTGTTTGAAAAGGAAGAAAAAAAAGTGAAGCTGCCAATCAAAACTGTTAGACTCCAAATTACAATCAAATGCTCTAGTTGTACAGCAAACATTCAAAACAAGTTAGAGAAAAGAGAAGGAAGCACAACTTGCTACACCATCGCTAGTACTCTGCAAGCCTTTGGAACAAGAACTTGAGGTGAAGTAGGCAGAGCTGTGTTCTGCCTAGATTTTCTCACAGAAATAAAATGCCAAGTGCCCAACTTCTGTCACATAGGTTTGCCAACTCCAATTTTTTGCAAATAGTTGGCGTTAGTCAGGAAACACTTCTGTAGCCGGAGCACAACAGTTAGAACCTAATACTAAAATGCAAGCATTAAGAACCATACCCAGAGCAAATAACCACATCTGTAAGTTACTCCTTGCCTTTGGTCAGGGCCTCAGGGTATTGTCTCTTCCAATAAACAGGAAAAAGAAGAAGAAGAAAAAAGAAAAAAATCCTTTGGCAACATAACTAATACATTATAAATGTTCTTATGCTGTGGTATTTGCTGATTTCTGTAAAGCTTTGCCTAATTCCTTCCTGAAAGGCTGAAAGGCAGATTCTCAAAAGCACTTAAACCAGAATATCAAGGGTTCTCAGCATTTCTGTTCTTCTCTGATACAACGTGAAATTTCCAGTTCAAGGAGACTCTGCTAATTTAGTCCCTTTGATTCTCCAATAAGTTGAAGCCTTTAAGGAATAATAACTGAAATGCTGCTGAGGAGACAAGTTCCTTTCTCTGGACAGAAATTCATGGTTCACTGAGTTTACAAGATTGTCTGATTCTCTTGGAAGCATAAGTTTCAGTATTTACAGAGCCATTCATCTTTGTCTCAAGCACAAATTAATCTAATTCAGCAGCAAAGCAGGTAGGAGAGAGATGAACTCTAAAAATAGCAAGTAAAGTTTCATAAAGACAGTGTTAATTTCTACCTGCTCTTGTCTGACAATGAAGGTGATGTCCTCCCCAGGCTTAACAGCCAAGCTTTCTCCTCTGATGCTGATCTGAAGTCCCTTGGGAGCAATCAATGGACACAAATGCTGTGCTAAGTTCTGCTGCAGGTCTACACCACCTTCACACACATTAGAAACAACTTTCCTGTACCTGCAAAAACAATAAGCAGTGAGCGAGGTGGAGGCAAGCAGTAGGCACCAAATGTGAGCGTGACAGTAGGCTAATGAATATTGCTTGGGTTCATAAACAGAAAATGTTGTAGATGACCAAAATAAACTCAAAATGCAAAAAAATTTTGCTTGCGGACATTGTTTCTATTGAGTGAAATCTGTTAGAGGGATTAGAGCATGATCAGGATTTCACTTGCATGCATTGGAAGAGTCTATCCTCTAAAATTCATAAATATGCCTGATCTGTTCTCTTAGAGCTGGGTATTCTGCTGTTCTCTCTCAACACCGCCCTCCCTCCCCAATCATGAAGCTTTCAATAGCCTTCAGTGCTCCAGGGGTGTTGGCTCAGGATTTTGCTGCTCACATGTACTGCCAAACTCAGGCTTCTATCCTATCCCACTTTACTACTGCTTTACATGTGGTTGGTTCAAGTTCCAAAGGTCAGAAATAAATTAAAGCAAGCAACTTCTGCATTAACCCAGAACCAATCACTTATATACTGTTCTCAAATCTGTGCATTTCTTAAAATATATAACATTTATTTCACATTATAGTAATAAAAGCTTGAACTCGATGACCTTGATGAACTTTTTTCAACATAAATAATTTGATGTTTCTAGGAGTGTAAGAAGAGCTAATAAAGAAACACTTGGAAGTACAGCAATTATTTACAGATCAGTTTCAATCAGGTATGCTATTTTTAAACATTCTTAAAAATTTGAGTCAGATTTCACTCTGATGAATTCAAACTCTGTGTATCACAGCTGTCAGCCACAACCCGAAAGGCATCATTTTCCTCAGTAAGGCAAATATACACAAAGACTATGATTCTATTGCCAGATTTGACATTTCATCATTTGGTTTGCATCTCCACAACCAACAGAGATGATGTTATGATAAGCCAGAATAGATGCCAGCTGCAAGCTATTCTCAGCACAGACGTCAGACTGCATTGTAGTGTGTACTCTATGCACTATTGTTTACAGTTACTAAAGCTTTACTTTGATTCTGAGTATCCCATATGGCCAGGAGAATAATTCGTTCTCTGTAGAGCTCCTTACACTGGTGGAAGAGAGAGACAGTGGAAAGTTCTGTGAGACATTACTTACTCCTCTGAGTAATTAACTGGATTTATGCAGGGAGCTAAAAGAAAAGGCTTTGAATGGGCCTTACTATCAAAAGTATAGCAATGCTTATTAGCTGTCCCAGCAGTTAGGAAAAATTATTGGGAACAAGACAGCTCTCCCTCTTCTCAAATCAATTAGTTTATTGAACCGCTGCGAACGTGTAAAGTAACATTGCTCTTACATTAGTCTGTAGAAAGATTCTGCATGAGCTGTAAGTCTGAGCCAGAACAGCTTACCACTTGCATTTTCCTATTATTTTTTTTTTCCAGTTTCCCTGCTTACACTTCCCCAAAGCCACTTTCGTAGTCCTTGGTCAGAACATTCTCCTCCACTACGGAAGCCCATGCAAGCCAGTCAAACCCAAGATTGACTTACCCACTGCTGCTTGTGTATGCCTGCCCCAGCACACAGTCTTCAGGAGGTGCTTCTGGATTAAACCAAAAGTCAGCAAAGCACTTGCTAGACTGCGACTTCAGAGGTGCAGAGCGCTCAAACCCGTAATCACTGGAAGACATCAACACCAAGTGTGTCACTATCCCCACCTTATTTACCAACCCAATTTGGGTGGATGAGATTACTTCTTTAAGAGTAAAGATTTTTAAAAGTATCTGCTGTAAGCTGAATACACAGCTTCATGAAGCCACTTCTGTTCTAAGTGTAGTTTCAGTGGGGCAAAAATTGTTATAATTACTTTGCCAGTTCTGCAAAGTTAACCTTCCTGGGAGCTTAGATTTTTAAAAGGTATCCTTCGCCTCTCAGACCAACACATTTCTTCCATATTTTTCTTAATTTTTATTTTTTCTTAAAAAAGAATGGGTCTAATTGCCCCATTAATAAATCCAACAGTTGTTTTTCAAGTCTTGATCAACAGAGAAAAACATTGGAATTTCTTCAGACAGGTGAGTCAAATACTTAAAGCACAGCAACACTTTCAGACAAAAACAAATTCATAAGCTACCTGTTATTCAAAACTATCACACTGCTTCTTGGTTGTTTGCACACAGCCATGCAAGAGTGGTGCAAAAGGAGGAAAATAAACTCCTCAAACTCTAAATAACATTTCACTAACGATGAATCTGAATATCCACAGACTCACCATAAGAAATCAGAGTTCGCACATTCACAGACTTTGGACGTTAGAGCTGAAGTGAAACTTCTCCCTTTAACGCACCATGATGAAATCTTCCTCTTCCGAAAGCTCCTCTGTTGACCCATGATGCAACGATCACCCTAAACATCAAAACACCAGATTTATTGCATGCCATAACCTGCATCGCAAAGCCACAATCTGAAACTGTCAGGAGAAAGTCTGGTTTCTTTTTGCCAAGACTGGACACTGGTATCAAGTCTCAACTCATCAATTTCTAGAGAAATTTACAGCAAGTTATCTATGATGTGACTATAAAAATGTGATTAATTAACTTAAGACTGAGACTGAAGGAAAACAGACTCAGCAAAGAAGAAAAAATACTTCACGTTCAATTCAATTGGACTCTTATACAAAGCTCTCACGTCCACTACTGGGATATTACACAGTTCTGACATACAATGTCTCAGGACACAAATTCAAAGATGTGCACAGAAGTTCTAGTGCAATTTAACCCACGTTCCATGTGTGTACAATCTAGGCACAAGCCTACAGATGTGTACTTAAAAACTCAGGCTTATTATGGCTGGACTTCTCTCTAAATGACCGCATCACGTGTAGGCAGTCAGTAGGAAGCACTAGGCACACAGAGACAGGTAGTATTAATACACTCTTGAAGCTAACACTGCACTGGTAATTTAGCAGCTGTAAGTACTCTGTCAGAGATATTTTAGTTGCTTCCATTTTCTGAAAGACATTTAAATGTCAGTGTACCCAAATAATGTCACTCTTTAGATGTGCATATTACTCTCAAAATACACAACGATTTCAAACAAGAAGCAATTCCAAATTATGTGAGAACTAGCAAGTGAGAGTTGGAGAGCTGGAATAACAACAGAGTTGTGTACCAAAAGGAAACCTGCAGAGAGCAAGAGAACAAATATACTGGATGAAACAAACAAAATAATTAGAACGACTACAATTAAACATGACATATCCCATTTAATGTAAGAATTAGAGACACTGGTCTCTAATCATACATTACATAGAGAACGTAGCTTCCAAAAATTAGAATTGACCAGAGAAGAGGGATTAGCACAGCCTTAATAGATTAACTACAGAAATAGTACTGCCCCAAACAACTGGACTCTATTACATGATCAGTCCACTGAAATCCTAAATTACATCTGGAATGGGCTTTACTTACAGCAATTTATATGAGTGCAGTATGTGGTCAGGAAGTTGGCAGTACATACAACTGCATTTTGAAATTGCTTCAATCAATATTAGAGATCTTAGTTTATGGTATATGCATCATAATCCAGTAGGACCACCTATTATTATGGAAGACCACTAGATATATTGCTGCCTTTCCCAGGACACAATTTGCACAATTAAAGGGAACACAAAATCATCCTTCCAACTTTTAACAATTGTAAAATCAGCAAAATATCAACCAAAGGAGAATAGAGCTGGGAAGGTGACATCCAAATTCTGTTAGAAAACATTTTCCTTGCTCACAATAGTGAATGATTCTTTCAGATATGAAAAAGTTCTGGCATATACAGTGAATACCTGTAGATTTGTGAGTTCCCAAGATTCATAGTCATCATCAGTGCATTCCCTGGGGAAGGATGGCCTGAAGTCCACCTTCACCAGTTCCCAGTCCGAGCGGTAACTTATGTGTCCAAAGACTCTGAACAAAAGAATCACAAGTAAAATCTTACAGGAAAGAAATACCACGCATCTGAGATTCCAATTTTCCATTCTGACTTCTGCTTTTCATGGATATGGTTCCCTACTAAAAGGTCACTGGTGCTTTTTTTTTTTCATTATCTGTGGAACTCTGCAGTGAAAAAGCATAGCTCATGGATTAGAGCTTTTTTTTTTTTTTTTTTCCAGCAAATTATACAAGAACGTAAATGGACATACACTAGCTTTTCTAATTTGGAATCCAATATTTTTGTCTGTTATCTTGTTATACATACGAAACATTCTCTGATTTTGATCCAAATTAGGATCAGAACTGAGGAAGCTATGTCACTATTTCCTTATGGTTATGGTGCAATTTTTTTTTTTTTTTTTTGGTATTTGTTTAAACTTACACAGATTTTAGATGGCAAAATCGCTATTGTTCAAACTCACAGCAGTATTATGAAGTTGCATTCATTTCTAAGGAATACACTAAATGTACACATTGTATTGGAGGATAGAGTCTCCATTTCAGATAGTCCAAACTATAACAAAAACCAGTCACAAACTGTAAATCTCTTCTTGAAAAATAAAAAAAAAAAAAGAAAAAAGTGGAAAAAAACAAAAAAGGAAATCTTACAGCTTTAAAAAACAGGTTTCACTTCAAAAGCAGCCAACATTTTCAAAGACAGAATATTTATTTCCAAAACCAAATGGGCAAGTATTACATCCAGCAACAAATTAGAAAGGATAAAGACTCTATTTTGGCAAAAGTCAAATGTATTTGTGGTTTGTATCTGGCCTGTGTGGCTTACTTGCCAAAGAATTTAAGGTTGATTCTGAAGCCAAAAATTTCTGCACAGATCATACTGCACAGAGTTCATTTTCCAAGTTTTAGTAGCATTCTCCAAACGAATTCATTCCTTTTGTCCTCAGTTTCGTCCAAATCCAGACACAGCAGGAATGGTGCAGTTTTGCAAAAAAAATATTCTGCTACTTAGACTCATTTTTCTTGTCCTGAATACCAAGTTCAAAGTGGAACTAGGGTAAAGTAGAAGTAAAAAAAAAAAAACAAACAGTGAATTCTCTGCAACACAGAAGCAACATCATTGCACTAAGTCTCTTCCCTATTAAATGAATGTAGAATTCTGAATTCCTCTACAAAGGTTGAAAAATACTTGCAGAGAACATAGGGATTTCTTCCTTTTTTCCTGGTGCATTTGATTCTCAGTCCCAGCATAGATATACAGATATAATCTATAGATTGATCTTCACTATCAGTAGAGTACGTATTTAAACAGACACACAGGTGTTTTGTCTGCATGTTTTACTCTTTTACTCTTTTTTTTTTTTTTAAGTGAGGCTCTGTGACTAAAGAACTTGCACCAACTACCTTCTTTCCTTTTAAATGTCTCTGTGGTTCAGAAGTAAAAACAGTACACAGAAGTGAAAAAGCACAGCTCAGCCCACTGGCTGCATGTGCACACAGGTGTGTGGTCCTACTTCCCGTCAGGACAACTGTCTTGCATCAAGATCTGCAGGTTTGCTTCCTTTTTCTGGTTCAGCTGAATCCTGAGACCTGCTGTCACCATATGCTTTTATTCATTTGTAGTCATATATACAATAAAGTGACTACTTGGGTGGTCTTATGCTTTTTTACAATGCCTGCTTCAATATGCCTGGCTTTGCTGACAGAAATGAAGTGTCTTTTGCATTCTAAATACCTGATGCTTTTAAAAAAAAATTATTTTACTCTTTTTTCTCCATACAACTGTTTAAAGCGAAGCAGACTTCACCTTGCAGTTACACAACTACCTACCTCCCTGAGTCCTTCTTCAAGCACCAGATAACCTTACAAATTGGTCACATTTCTTTTATTAACTCATTTAAACACATTCAAGTGTAAAGATCCAGGTTCTGTCAAGGCCTCACTCCTGACTCAAGAAAATTATTTTCTATAGAAGGAATCAAATTTTCTTCACTCATGTTAGCTACTTCAAACAGATGAGTCAAGGGAAAAGGAAGGAAGGAGATGGCTGGTTGAATTCAGTACAGAAGAGAGTCACATAATTCTCTTGAAAGTAGAAAACAAAATCTCTGAATGATTAATAATCATCTTTATGAGCTCAGAGAGGTCAAGGGTGATTCTAGATAACCATAAGAAGAATATTTTGCCTATATATAAAATAAAACACACATACCTCTCCTCCAACTTTCCCAAATAAGTACAAATCCTGAGTTACAAAACTCATTTTGATATCAACAAAGATACCAAACAAACTATTAAGCTAGTCACTTGTAAGTACCTTGAAGATAATTAAAATGATAAGAAAGAGCCACCAGAGATTAAACAAACAAACAAATAAATAAATCATGTCAAACTAATGTAATTTCCTTCATTTACAGGGTAACTGCCTTGAATTACTTTTTTCTGGAAAAGTTAAAAATGAGCAGTACAACAAAATGTCTTCAAATACTCTTTCTATAGATTGTAGAGTTGTCATTAAAGAGACATGAAATAGGGGCATAAAAGAACAAGGATAAGAATCACTGACTTAAAAGATGCAGCTATAGAATTCTCCAGTGGTAATGGAACGAGATACTGAGGTTTTATCCTCTCTCACAGGACTGAGATATTAGTGAAACATAGGCATTAGAGATACATAGAATCTGGCGATATTGACTAGTGCCACACGTCCTCTGATTTTATAAAATTCATGGAAATTACTAAAGAAATTAAGAATGCTCCCGAAGAAGGATACTGATGTTATATATAATCTGTATTTGGTCTCATAGAAAAAATGATTTGCATGATAGGTCTTGTGATTCTACATACCAGTAAACATGATTTAACATAACACAGTAACTGTACCACTGTTTCAACCACTCTCTAGGTTAAGTAAAGTATCTGAGATTCAAGGTGTCCTATCAGCATAACCACAAACTGTACAAAAATGCAACCACACAGCTTAGGAAATCCTGGGACACATTTCCAAAGGAATTCAGCAACTAGTGTGCACTCAGATTTGTAAAATGTTTGAAACATGGCCTCACAATTACTAATGCTATTGCTGCTACAACACTTGATGCCTTACTGAGGACAGGGTTTTGCAGACACATCAGAAGAGCCCATTCAGATGTAATGCCAAATAACAACAAAAAATCCTTTACAAAGTAAAAAAGAAAGCCTATTTTTTTTTTTTTAATGTAGAATTCAATGGATTGGAGAAAAATATGAATGCTGAAGCCATACATAACAGCAATCATATTGCTCAGGTGCAAAATATTCATGTCCAGTTAATTCACATGTATGGAAAAAGATGGTACCGTGTAGCAATGATCAGAAGATAAGTAGCAGGATGACATTAGTTCATAAGCTGCTCTAAGCAGCCTGGTCTAGTGGTTGGTAACCCTGTCTATGGCAGGGAGGTTGAAACTAGATGATCTTTGAGGTCCTTTCCAACCTAGGGCATTCTATGCTTCTATGATTCTGTGATATGCTATTAAAACATTCTTCTTCATTAATTTTATTTCATTAGAAGGCTATCAAATCAATTCTATTGAAACTATGAAAAATGATGCTGATACATAATTTTTGAAAGAAATTCCAATTACCTTAGAAATTCTTTTTTTTTTTTTTTTCCAACTATTTGGAATCTATAATTTTAACACCAGTGTTCCAGTCGCCATAATAACTTTTTACATTTGTTCCTACTTCATTTATGAGCACATCATCTTAAAATTTGATTGCATCACTTGATAGCTAAGACAGATTAATGCAGTTTTTAAGCTAACTCATTTAAACTATTTGCTGGAGGATTGACGTTTATTTCTGTTCCTGATAAAGCTCACAATCAGGGAGAGATAATTTAATGGAAATTATATGCAATGATAATCTCTTCCAATAAATTCACGTTTCAGTTCAACAGGAAAAGGCATCTCTTCAATAGATGTTTTTAGTTTACATGAACAGTATTAGCTTCACTGCCTGCTGACTGTGTCACTAGTTAGATACCTGACCAAAACTATGATGGCTCTTGTAATGGAATCTCCCAGAGACTTATCAGCTTTCATGGCTTCATTCATTAAAAATGATCCCAGTTTTCACAGTGCAGCTCATCTCGGATGTCACAGGCAGCTTGTTATATCCACCATGTTTGCTTTCACTTTTTGGCTGTGCTCTTCAGGATTTTGTTCATAGCCTTTTACATTCTTTGCCAGAACAGATGGAATTTATTATGAATCTAATGTCATATAAATTAAGATATGCCCTGAGCAACTTTTTATCACGTTACATTGATTTACCAACGTAGCCCTGCTCTGCTACTCTGGACAGACAAGATGGCTTTGAAGAGCCTAATGTTCACATCTACCAGATACTAGGAGCAGTGTAGCTGAACCTGCAACAGTTTTACTGCTGAATAACTTAAAAAAAATAAAAACATTAAAAAAAAATATCTGCGACCTCAGAGTCGAGGAAGCAACCCTGCTGTACCTGTAACATGAAAGCCATTAAGACACCACATGTGGAATTTATTCAGATGTTTAACACAGCACGTAAAATTGTCCAAGTTTTGCGGTCATATTGAAGACTAGTGATGACAACTGTGTGATGCATAGCTACTTTTGTTTGAAATCAGATGCTTCTTTCATTCTAGACATGCGGCTTTAATCTCCCAAGTGCTGTGTTGGCTTTTGCTCTCCTCTATATGACTTTGTCATCGACTGTGATGTTTGAAACAGCAGAATTTACCTCTGTAGCCCTGTATTGCCCTGCTGACACCCTCTGCTAGCTTCACATGCCAGCTGGATGTTGCACAGTACTTGTCATGTTTTGGAAGAGCCTTTAAATTTATAAAACTCTCAACAGAATAAAAGCCAGGATTTCAACCAGGGTCAGCCAAGTGCCCATACATAACACCTGTACTTCAGGTCATCCCAACGGGGCTGTCATAGATAACAGATCTTAATCCATTCTTCTAAGCAGCACCAAAGTAAGATGTC